AGAGCGAGAACCGCTTCACGCTGGCCCAGCTCGATCAGCAGCTCGTCTTCAAGCAGGGCGAGGCTGTCGACCTGCGTCTGCGCGACGAGCAGCGCGAACTCGTGTTCAAGGGTCCGCTCAAGAAGCGCGGTGGCACCCAGAGCGAGAGTGCCGAGCTGCAGGTGTTTCTGTTTGACCACGCACTGCTCATGGTCAAGCCCAAGGTGGTCAACAAGCACGAGCTGTACAAGGTGTATCGCAAGCCCATTCCCCTCGAGCTGCTCATTGTCACTGTCTACGACGAGGTGCCGACGGGCAAGGGAAGCTCGACGCGGCCCAAGTCGGTCATGTCGCGCACCTCGACTGGCACGCGCTACAGTGGCACGCCTGGCACCGCACCCAAGCAGGATGCCAAGACGGGCTATGCCCTCACATTCACGTATCTCGGCAAGAAGGGCTACTCGATGACGCTGTGGGCCAACACGTTTGTCAGCCGGCGCAAGTGGTTCGAAAACATCGAGGCGCGGCAGGAGATTCTGCGCCAGCGAAGCAACATCTTTGACACGATCACGCTCTCGGAGAACTTCTTCCTGGGTCCCAACCGCGTCAACTGCTCGGTGCCCTTCGACTTTGGCCGTCGCATCATCTACGGCACCGACGACGGCGTGTATCTCTCGGATCTGCGCGAAAAGGCGCGACCGCCGACCAAGGTGCTGCCGCTGCCGGGCGTCACGCAGGTCGACGTGTTGGAGGAGTACCAGATCCTGATTGTGCTGGCGGAGAAGTCGGTGCATACATTTACGCTTGATGCACTGGACCCTTCGGATCCGATGGGTTCGCTGAAGCGAGGCCGCAGGATCTCGTCGCACACGTCGTTCTTCCGCGCCGGTATCTGCCTGGGTCGCACACTTGTCTGCGTGGTCAAGTCGAGTTCGCTCTCGTCGACCATCAAGACGCTGGAGCCGATCGAGCAAAACGTGCGCGGCAAGAAGCAGCCGACATTCAAGAAGCTGCTGCAGGGCGGACAAGATACGCTGCGCGTGTTCAAGGAGTTCTACATCCCAACCGAATCGAGCTCGATCCACTTTCTCAAGTCCAAGCTGTGTGTCGGCTGTACCAAGGGCTTCGAAATTGTGGATCTCGAGACGCTCGACACGCAGGGTCTGCTGGATCCGGCCGATGCCTCGCTCGACTTTGTGCAGCGCAAGGAGAGCGTCAAGCCGATTGCCATCTACCGCATCTCGGGCGAGTTCCTGCTGTGCTACGACGAGTTTGCGTTCTACGTCAACAAGAACGGCTGGCGTGCCAAGGGCAACTGGATCATCCACTGGGAGGGCAATCCGACGTCGTTTGCCTACCACCATCCGTACGTGCTCGCGTTCGAGCCGAGCTTTGTCGAGGTGCGCCACGTCGAGACGGGTGCGCTGCACCAGGTCATTACGGGTGTCAATCTGCGCTGTCTGTTTGCCGATGTGCCGCCGCCGACGCCGAGCGTGAGCCAGCAGAATGCACAGGCGGTGGCAGCCATGCAGGCGCAGTCGTTCAACGCCATGATGGGTGCGCCGTACGGCCGTCCGATGCCGCTGCAGAGCGGAATGCCGCCGCCGATGGTGCCTTTCCCGGGTGCCCGACCTGGCTTTGTCCCGCCCGTGGCAGCTGCCAACGGTGCAATGATGGCCAGTCCGGCACCCGGCTATGCCGGCGTTCGCCCACATCCAGGAGGCTCGCCGATGCTCGGCGGGGGCGGAGGACCAATGGCGATGGTGCATCCGGCCGTACCCTTCTCGCCCCATGCGCGACCGCAGATGCCGTACGCCTTTACACAGGCTCCTACACCTCGTCCGACACCGGTGCAGCGCAACCCGGTCTGGGAGTCGGTGGCAGCCAGCCGCAACCAGATCGTCTTTATCGGCGACACCACCGTCTTTTGCGTTCGTCTCCATGCAGAGTCTCACTCGGCCAGCGGTTCTGCCAGTCCTTCGAGCTCTTCGATCAAGGGCTGATGCAACCCCCCCCCCCCCCTCTCCTACCATCCACCCTCTCTCTCTCTCTCTTGCGTATATGCCACACCTCTTGCCATGTTATACCCCCTTTTTTGAGATACTCTCAAGCCATGGCTCGAGATGTTACAGTAGTTCATTACTTTTGGCAGCAGTCGTGCACGCGCGCTCGTTTGGCACGTTACCTCTTACCCCCAGCACCAGCAGCAACACTACTTTTTGGTCCTCTGCTACCAAAAACACTTGTATTTTTCTCCCCCTCTTTTCGTCGGTATCTCCATCTGTCTCTTGCAATATGGTATGCATTGCCCTCTTTTTGTCTGTTTTCGTGCTTGTGAGAACGGAGGCCGCTGGAGAGCCTTGCTCCTCTGCTCGGTGGTAGACTGCCATATGGCAGCCAATAGACAGTACAGATGTACTGTGTGTGGTTGTGTTTGAAGTGAGCTCTGGACGCTTGACTGTCAGATCCAAGTGGTACAGGCGCGTGTGCGTGCGTGATCGATTACAAATCAAGACCGCTCTGTTCGAGGGGGCTTGGAAGGGATTCCGTTCGTGAATTTGGGATTTGGTTCCGTGTTAGGCCGTGAATGTCGAATTTTTCTCTGGCGGCTGTAGAGCTGAGAACAGGGTCGCGTATCGAGAGCAAAGTCGGATGGCTCCGGAGTGTGCGAAAGCAGGAAGCAGGGGAGGGGCCCGAGGAAACCGAAATGCGCTGTGGAACCATTCGGCACCGAAACCTCGAGGCGAGTTTTTGGAGAGTGAGGCAGAGAGGCAGAGAGGCAGAGAGGGAGAGTAAGTGGAATTGGGCAATCCTTCTCAGCTCCAAGCTCGAAGCTGGGCACTGACTGCAGTCTGCTGTTGGTCACTACTGTACTGTACTGTCAATATTCGATATTGCGATCCTGTAGCTGCACCGTTGGAACCTGACATTGCAACACCAACACCAGCATCCTCTAACCCTACCGCCGATCGTCACCATCGTCACCATCGCACTTCTTGTCGTCGCATAGCAGCGCTAATCATCGTCAAACATGCGAGCTTCTCAGGTCACATTCTCCGGCATGCCCACCGGCAAAAAGTACATGGGCTGGTGGGGCGACATGGGCGGCCCTACCCAACGCGGCATCGTCTCGTACGCCATCTCGCCCTTCCAGCAAAACGCGATGAAGGGCGCCCTCAAGGGCTACATCTTCTTCGGATTCAAGCGCATCATGGCCCAAGCCCCTTACTTTGCCCTTCCTTTTGCCGTTGGTACGTTGCCACCTCCCTACTCGACGCTTGGCATTCCCAAACCGGTTTCGTGTGGTACATTATCGGAAGCTGCCGAAATTTGCACCATTTTTTGATCCCGGCGAGAGAGAAAAAGAGAGAGAGAGAGAGAAAAAGAAGACGAGAATGGACACACCAACACCAACCTGCATCGACAATTTGCGAACAGAAGGTATACTGACATACTCGCAACATGGCTTCTTTTCATGTTTCTTTTTTTCTTTCCTCTCTGTGCAACCTTTGACATGCAGGATACGGCCTCATCGCTTGGGCCAAGAAGAAGAACGCATACTACAACTCCAAAGCTGGTCACCTCGAGGCCGGTCACGACGAGTAAACATCCCACCACCACCACCACACACACTCCTCGCTTCTCTCCTCACCGTTTCTCTTCAGCTCTCGTATAAACTTGGTAATGCCATCCCATCGATATCGCACATGGCTTTCGAAAAGTGCAAGACAAGCACGACAAGGCTTTTGGAGTGGAGTCGAGTGACTGCTGATGGATTGGATGCAATGGCTCCTTGCTTCGTCGTCGTGTTGTGGCTGATCTGGGGTTCGGTTCTGCGACGTTGTCCACATCGACCAGTCAGCCAGCCGACCAGCCCATTTTTGCCAGTTGATGATAAATCACCGAAGAGCAGGGCTGGATGGATCCCGTGGCTCGTGGCTCGTGGCTCGTGATTACGGGAAGATGGACGATGGACAAAGGTCGAAAGAGATGGGGAACTCCGCGCACCGTTATTCATTCCTCGGACGCACGGTTCGTTCCCGCTACTTGTGGCTTCCCATGACCCCAACCACGAAGCTGCAGATAGACATGGGACATACACGCGCCGTTCCCAGTTTCGATCAGAGAACCGCAGTGGCACCGGCAGTGGTTTGTCCGACCGCGACGTTCAGGATCGAGTGTCGATGGCTTCCTCCTGCTGTCTCTCTCTCGTGTTTTCTTGCTTCGATGGACGCGCACAAAGGTTTTGGCCCTCCAAGTTCGGTAGAGTTGTCAGTCTGACGTTCCAAACGGTGAACTCTCGGCAGTAAAGAAAAGAGAGTACTCGCCGAGATCAGAGTTGTGAGATCTAACGCCGGTCATGGCATTCCCGAGCTTACACGCAATACGGCCCGAAAGCCAACACCTGTCTCTCTCGCTTCGCTGCTGCTCCGATGTACATTCTCTCTTTGTGTCGTGCACGACACGAAACCATCAGAGCGTGCACAGCAATACTGGCTCCGCTTGCGGGTGTACTACGCAGCCTTGCACGAAGATGTGTTGGCAAGCCAGGCATCGCCAAAAAAAAAAATGGCGGTAAAAAATGTCTCCGACCACTGACCTGCGTTGACAGTCGAGCGTTAGAAACACAGCCATTCTGGCCCACCGTCGTGTTCAGCGTGTCAATGCGCCCTGCTATGGTCGGCGGTTGGACGACCCGGATCCAGCCAAATGGACGAAGCGCACCATCGCAATCACAATCGCAATCGCGAGCGGTGAGAGGTTCAACCCCCCCGAGAGCCCTGGACCAAATTTCGCGAGATAGAGGGATACAATTGCCACATTGCCTTGGGGGATTCTGAGTGAGGACAGGGCTGGTTTGGCATGGCGTGAGAGTCATTGCCTTGAGTTGAGGCTATGCAGCGAGACCACCCAGTGGCGAGCTGAAGACTAGGCAATGTCAGAACAATTTGAGTCTTTGTCCTTCTCGGTATTAGCAAAAAGACAATATATATGCTTCCCTCGGCCAGAGCACCCAAAGGTCCCAGTTAGTACAACGGTTAGTATACGGCACTTTCACCAGATGCAGGCGTGTTCGTTCGCGCGTGCGGTGCTGCTGAGATCGGGGTTCGATTCCCCGGCCGGGAACACTTTTTTCTCACTTTTATTCCTCGTGTACTGCTTTTTCAGTCTAACAAGTAACAGAGCGGCTTCGGCAACCATAAATCATTAATGAATAATTGATGTCAGGCAACCACGGCTGACTGACGTACCGTACTGTATAACTTAGTACAAAGTCAGTAATCATTGCAAGTCACGGCTATCCATCGAACGGGGCAACTGGCATCCTCTCCTCAACCCCCGCCCCTCGCTCTTAAGACATCTCCTTCTGGATTGCCTTGGTCAACTCATGACCAAGGCGACCATCGCTTCTTTTCTTTGCAGAGAGTTTACCATCTCGACCTTTCGACTGTTTTCGATTACGCCTACACAACCCTTTTTCAAAAATCGAGCAAGAAAAGCAAAGATGGCTGCACCCGCCGGCATTTATCGTAACACTCTGCTGCAGACGGTCTACTTTGGACAAGGCTGTCTCGCCTCGTCGCTGCCAGCTGCGATCGAGGGACTGAATCTCAAGTCGAAAAAAGCCTTTATCCTGACGGGCAAGAGTCTAGCTACCAAGACCGATGTGATTGCCAAAGTGCAAAAGGCGCTCTCCTCCAAAGGCTACTACTCGGGCGAGACGTTTTACGACATTGGCGAACATGCCCCCGTCGCCGGAATCCGCGAGGTGGTGGAGCGAATGAAAAACAGCCAGGCCGATGTGATTGTGGCTGTTGGCGGTGGGTCGCCCATCGATGCGGCAAAGGCGGTCTCGTACTATACGCACTCTGTCAAGTTTGGAGAGGAGAGTGCAAAGAACCCGCTCAGCCGGGCGGAAGACTTTATCCCCACCATTGCCATCCCCACCACCCTCTCGGTGGCAGAGACCACGCAGAACGCCGGCTTCAAGAGCGACGACGGTCACAAGATCGGCGTCACGTCTCGCAACCTCACGCCGCGCGTCATTGTGTACGATGCCCAACTGACGCTGGATACTCCCGAGAGACTCTGGCTGTCCACGGGCATCCGGGCACTCGACCACGCCGTCGAGTTTCTCTACCGCAAAGACACGCATCCCTTGATCAAGCCTTCTGTCCAGTCCTCCATCCGGGAGCTGTTCACGCTTCTTCCGCTGTCGAAACAGAATCCGAAGGATGTAGAGATCAGACAGCGTCTGCAGCTGGCCTGCTTCAACTCGCTCTGGCCGGAATCCCGGCTGGGCGCACTCGGCCTCTCGCACGGCCTAGGCCACAAACTCGGCGCAACCTACAGCATCCCGCACGGCATCACCAGCTGCATCACCCTGGCGCCCACCGTCCGCTTTGTTGCCAACTACCCGCAAACCCCCCTCCCCCACCTCTGGAATCTGGCAGATACACTCCCCTTCATCCCTGCCCCCTTCAACCCCTCGCCTGCCCCACTCCTCTCCTCCCCCCTCCCGCCCAACAACCCCTCAGCAGCCCAAATCGACGCCCTCAGACACTCGGCCGCGAAAGTCGCAGACGCCATACAGGCCCTCGTCGACTCCCTCGGCCTCAAAACCACCCTCAAGGACCGCGGACTCGATCCTAACCAGCCGGAAATCGTCGCCGATCAGGTCGCGGGAAAGGACGGCAGAGACTCAGACTACTACAAGGGCGTCAAAGCTATCCTCGATAGCGTGTATGAATGAGTCCCTTGCCGCATCGGCATCGGATTCACCACTCCCTTCGCTACCGCTTCGCCAGCACGCTCTTGAATCTCCACTCTCGATTCCCCACCTCAAACTTGTCGAGTACGAGCACAAACACTCTACACTCTACACTCTCCAGCCATGCGACGTCAGGGAGGCGTGTTGCACCACTGCCGATTTCCCCAACTCTGAGCCTGTTTCTTCAAACCACAATCGTCGACCGTGCGATGTTGCCTGCATGTGAGAATACAATAGATTGTAGGGATGGTGCTGCGCCCGTTGCCGTTGCCATGGGAATCCCCGTGTCTGTGCGTGCAGGTTTCCATTTCCAGTTCGACTCAGTAACACAGAGATAGCGATCTTGCATAGCCGAGGAAAGAAGAGGCCGGAAGCCGTGGGTCTGCTCTCTCTCTCTCTCTCTCTCTCTCTCTTTCCCTCTCTCTGTGGCGCTCGCTCTGCGTGTGGAGAGGGTGGACAAGTGGAGCTCGGCTCAGCTCGGCTCAATCATCCAGATCCATACTGTAGGGTTCCTTGCCCGCGGAGGCGGAGGCGGAGGCGGAAGTGGAAGTGGTCGACTTGCGTGATCGCAGCGACTGGAGTCTGTGGTCGCGCGACGAGTCGGCGGAAGCAAGGCTGGAGGATGTGTGTGGTGCGTCCTTGTTCTGGTCCTGCAGTGTCGCGACTGGTGGTCTGTCGTCCTCTTCTTCCTCCTCCTCCTCTTTCTCCTCTTTGTCCTCTTTGTCGATGCCTTGATGTCCAGCAGCACCGTTCTTCTGGTCATCTACGTCGCTGTCGTCATCATCCGCATCAGCACGCATCCTAAGCCTACTGCTCCCATCCACACCGCCCACCGCCCCCCGCTTCACTTTCGTCGGAGTCTCCTCCTCCCCCAACAACCCCCGCGATCCATTGCTAGACAGACCCGACCCGCCCGCCGCAAACGGCGAGCCAACCGGCGCCGAACTCGGCCGTCGAGAGTTAAACTGCCCGCAGTGCGGACAGATGTACTGCAGCTCGTGGAACTCTTCGCGCAGCGCTAGGCCGTTGTGGTGTTTGCAGCGTGGGCAGACGAGGGCGTATTTCTGCTCGGGACCTAGGGAGGATGGGTCTGCGCCTAGCACGGCGTCTGCTAGCTTGTCCATCCATGTCTTTGGCATCGGAGTGGGCGGCGGGACAGCACCTACAAAACCACCACCAACGCCACCACCACCACCGCCGCCGCTGCCTTGGGATCGCATCAGTGCCATTCGCTGGGCCTGCAGCGCTTGCCCTTCTGGCGTGTTGAGCGGCGGGATGCTCGATACACCGCCCCGCTGTGGCGTCTGTAGTGCCGCTGCGGCTGCTCCACCCTTGTTCCCGACTGCCGAGCCAGCAGGCGTGCCGGTCGCCTGGGCCTGCGTCTGCATCTGCATCTGCACCTGCCCCTTCTTATCCTTCTTCTTCCCAGGCGTTGTAGCGCCGGCATCCGACGGCGAGCCTGCCCGGGCACCTGCATCATCATACTTGTCGAGAAGCATGCGCAGGTGATCGTACCTGGTCGCGCGTTTGATCTCGTCAATCTTGTCGCGCTTGCGCCGCTTGAGGTCGATGAGGTGCTTTTCCTCGGCAGCGCCGATGCGTTTGTACCACCACTTGACGATGCGTCTTGTCGAGATGATGAGGAGCGGGGATGCGAGCACGGGCGTCCAGACCAGAAGCATTTTCGAAGACGCGCCAGGGGACGAAGAGGACGACGAGGGGGAAGACAGGGTTAAGAGGCCAAAGAACCAGCACAGGGCAGTGTAGATAGCCCAGAGCAAAAACGCCTGAATCGTCAGCCCGACGGAGGCCCTGCGCATGCGTCGACGGATCTGGGCAAGCCGCGTCTGTACATCGACAATGTCGCGATCGAGGGCAGAGAGCACGGTCTCGTAGTCGGTCTCCTTGCTAGCACGTCGCCAGGGGAGAAAGCTCCCGCTGACGAGCGCGTTGAAAACGCCCATGTTGGAGGACGAGTTCAGTGACTGCCTGGTCGGTCGGCGTCGCTTTTGGAGAGAAAGGAAAGGCGCTCGTGATGATGGATGTGGTTGGTGTGAGTGGAAGGACTGAGCTAAGTGGTGATGCGAGGCTGGTTGGGACTTCTTCTTCTCACATATACACACACACACGCACACAACACGTACTCACACATGCACATACGCACACCCTTGTCGAGTGGAGAAGTCGAGCAAAGTGTAGTAAAATGCCAAATGCGCAGACGACACACACACACACACTCACACATATCCAACCCAACTGACACAGAATAATAATGAGAGACACTACGACACAGAGTAACTTACTGCAACGTTGTGCTGCTTGCTGAGCGCGTGACGTCGTCGCTTTCCGATCTTACACTCGTTTCCTGGAATATCGTTGTGAAGGTTGGCTCAGTGAGTGAATGTTCCAACAAAAAAAGCGAGCGCAGCAAACCCTGCATTGCTGCATCTCGGAATGCACCAATCAATCCACCCACCTCTCACCTCGAACCACTCGCTCCACCACCCCCAGGACCACCACCATTCTTTGTTCCTGTCCAGCTCTTACTCGCTGCATTTCTACGTAGAGAGAAGGAGTCACAGAGAGCTAGAGAAGATGTCGTCTACAAACGACGAGCTCTACCAGCTCGAGCTCCTCGCCCTCACCGGCAAGGTGGCTGCCGAGCTGCTCAACCACACCGGCATCAACGACCGCGTCCTCGCCGAGTTCATCATCTCGCTCCACGACCAGGCCACGTCCATTGCCGACTTCAAGGCAAAGCTCGCAGATGTCGGCGCCGAGTTCCCCGACAGCTTTGTCTCCAACCTCGACAGACTCATCCTTCGCATGCATCCCAAACACAAAAAACCCTCCGCTTCCTCCACAGCAAACGGCTCCAACGGCGCCAACGGCCACCCTGCCAATGACAGCGGCGACGCCAAGGGCAAGCAAAGAGCAACCGCGGACCAAGAGGAGCGCGAACGCAAAAAACGTATGTTTCCCGGCCTCGCAATCCAGGACCAGGAGTGGAAACCTCCCTCGCCGCCACGCACAAAGTCGCCAGACGCCCACGCTCGTCCTGCTGCCGCTGCCGCCAAAGACCAGCCTGCCCGCAACGCCGTCGACGAGTTCATGAAGGAGTTTGAAGTCATGGCCAGCTCGTCAAAGCAACGAAGACGCAGTCCGGATTCCAGCTCCTCGTGGCGTCGCGAACGGAATGCATCCCGCTCGCCGCCCACCGCTTCCTCGTCCAGAAACATCTACAACGACCGCTACAGCGACGATCGCTCTGCGAGCGCTCCATCTCGGCGTGGCAGAGACGAGCGCCCACCACACCACCTCTCGTCTCAGTCCGTGCCCGACGAGCGTCCGCAGC